GCCCCTTCCCCTTCCCAGCCCCGGCAGTCTCCGGCCTTCCCTATCTCTTTAATGTTTAAGTGCCCGCGTCGTGTTTGTCTCAGGGTTTCCACCGCTCCTTCAACTCACCTGCCCTAGAAATTGGTTAATTCACTGACTTCACGAACAGGTCATTTTTCTTTAACCCGGGGAACTGAGCGGATCGTTGTCTCTGCGTTTTAATTTCCTCATCTGTAAAATTGGCTTAGCAATAACTGCCTTTAAATTTTTTTTTCTTTTTAAGATTATTTTGAGGATCAAACGAAGGTTTTTTGCAAACTATATTAAAGTGGTGTGAGAAAGTGAGGTATGGCCAAAACTTCCTTCCTGTTGTGTTGTATAGCTCTCCTAGGTCAGGGTAGGGAGGGAAGAGCGTAGCTTCAAGAAGCCCACACTGGTGGCAGCTCTGCTAGTTTTGACATACTGTTCAAATTCTAAAGTGATCACTCATTTGAAAGTTTTTCTGGAAGCTCACTGGGAAGATCGCTTTGTCTTAGTTTCTTCATAAGTGTTTGTCCTGTAGCGTTTATGCACAGGAAATACTTTATTGGTGTATTCTAAGCCATGTTAACTGTTGAGGGGAAAAAACAACCCTTTGAGCACCCTTATGGTCCCCATGGTAAACAAGAGGATCCATCCCACACACATTTGCACACTGGCATATCCTTTTAGAGAGACTCATAGGTCACCAATTCCCAAGTTTAAAAATGTATACTGATTTGAAACTCTGCAGCGGTGATTCTGCTTCTAAAAACTAACCATAAGCGATATAATCACTAGTCTTAAAACTCTAGCTTTAGGATAAACACTTAATGAGAACTTGCTGGGGTTGCTGAAGGTGATTCATCTGTCAGTGATCCATATGCAGTTCTGGTATCTGTTCCAAGTGGCATACCTTTAAGGTTGAGAGATGGAGAAAAAGAGAGGTGGCTTCAAGAGAATATCTTTAAATGCTTTGTTTCCCCCCTTTTATGCCTTATCAATGTGCGGTGTTAGAGTTACTGTTATTCTCAGTCTTATTTGCACTCTGTAAGAAAGAGGAGCTGAACATTGGTATTTGTTTTTTAGAGAAACTAAAGCAGTATACTTAAGTACCCACTTAAAAGTTAGGAGTAAATCTTAAACTACAACCAGTGTCTCACAGCTCCTTGCTCATCTCTCTCTCTCATTATCCTGTCGATCTTAATTACTAATTGTTTTGGTTTTGGGGTGTTTTTGTTTTGTTTTGTTGTTTTTCTCTTTTGGTACCTGAATTGAACTCAGCCTCCCACTTGCTAGGTACTAGGCAGGTGCTGCTCTGCTGAGCTACACCCCCCCACCCTTGGTTACTAGTTTTGAATTAAATTTTATTGCACTTCCTTACAATGTATAGCATTGTCTGTATCACCATATTTATAAGATCTGTGATTTACAGAGGTTTAAAGGCAGCCCTTTTCCTCTAGAAGCTTATCTCTCAAGGAAAAAACAAATTAGCACTGTTACTAAACAAATAGCATTTCAGTTGTGTACATATATAAATGAAAAAAGAATAGACATCATTTTATGTACGAGTATTGAAAAGGCTGCAATTGCATTAAATAAATGTACAATAAAATGAACATAAAAAAATAAAATTATCATCAAAGTTTTCCCCCAAAGAAGTTTTAAAGGCTTGGGAGAGGCATTCAGAATGATGGAGAGAATTATGTGGATGGAGGTGCTCATGGACTGGGAAGCAGTATCAATAAAGAGAGAAGGGAACAGACATCAGGAGCTACAGGTAGATTTTCATAAATAGAGGGAAATATGATACATAAGTGACAGGATATTGTAAAATTGTAAAATGAGGTCAACTTATGCAGAAAGGGCAAATGAAAATCCTTAGAGAAGTTATAAAATTACAGACAGGTTGACTATTTCCGTTTTACAGGAAGCTATGGTCAACTCTAGATAACTTCTGTCCAGTTCTAGCCCTACTGCAGTCCCCCTGATAATTATCAGGCTTATAGTGTCCTTTGTTAGAATCTTTTAGATACACCCCCATCCCATTTTTTGTCTGGCTCTAAGATCATACAAATTAAATGTAGTAACAAAGTGACAACATCTTAATGCTTTCCTCAGCTCTGCAGTAAATTGTAATGCTCAGATGTATGCAGAACATTTAAAGTCTTTTTGAAGGAGGAAATAATAAGAGTCAATCTTTGCCCCTCTGAGAAGTTTTCTTTCTAGGCTGACAGATGCAGGTGTGGATTCATACACTGCCAGGCGAGAGGAAAGCACAATACCTGTTACTGTGTTATAGGATGACTCACTGGTTGTGTGGAAGGAAGTTGATTTGACCCGGTTGTCAGAGAAGGAACGTCGTGACGCCTTGAATGAGATTGTTATTCTGGCGCTGCTGCAACATGACAACATTATTGCCTACTACAATCACTTCATGGACAATACCACCCTGCTGATTGAGCTAGAATACTGTAATGGTAAGGGAAATTTGGTGTGACTTCCTCTGACAAGACATTCTTATGTCCATACTTAACCTAGAGGGGGAAAGTACAAGGAAGAATATATGCTATGATAAAAACTTTTAAGTGGACTTCCAGAGTTTAAGAGGAATAGGTCAGGCCTTGGAGAGTTTGGAAGTGTTCTCCAAAATAAAGGGAGGGATTTTCCTCTGCATATTAAATTTTTCCTTGTGATTATAGATTTATCTTCAGATCATTTTTTCAGGTAGATTTTATCTTCAGGGCTTTTCCTCATGAAATGACATTGGTTATTTATTAGAGACAGTATGCCTTAGCACCTCTTGATACCCTATTTAATGAAATCTTACGGATAATATTTATTTATACTGTCAGCTAAAGCTATCCTATGGAAAAATGGCCCAGAGATTACTGAATGAAAATAATAGTAAAGTGTGGCCTTATTTGTTTTTTAGTTTTTTGAGGTTTTTTTGTTTTGTTTTGTTTTGTTTTGAGACACCATCTCATTATGTACTTCAAGGTGGTTTATGACCAGCCTGGCCTTGAACTTTTGGCAATTTCCTGCTTCCACCTCTCAAGTGCTGAGATTACAGGCATGCACCACCACTCCCAGCCAAGTATGGCCTTATTTATCTGATCTCTGATTTCTTTGGAACATTTTACTTGTAAGATAGTAGTACTGCCTATTTGTCAAGAGAATAGACTGAACCCTCCTTCAAAGTTCTACTTTCTAGCTCTATAACCTTGGGCAAGAAACTCAAATTTTCTGTACCTTGGTTTCCTCATCCTAAAAAAGCTTGTTGATTATAGTATTCTAGGATTGTATGAAATTAATTTTGAAAGCCATAGTATAGGACTTGGTATGTAGCGGGTGTTGATATATACTATACTACCTGCTATCTTTATTGTAGAGAAGACCTCCCAAACCCTTTTGTGAACTGCATGCTAAAGAGGTATTAACATATTATTCACTTATTGACTTTGTTGTCTAGGTTCTTATGTTTCATAATTCTGATCAATCCTGAATAATTGAGATTGTATTAGAAATTTTTGAAAGAGGAAAAGCTTTAGGTAGTTAAAATCCTTTGTGGTTACATGGAACTAGAACAAATGATACATTTATTGAAACTGAGTTACTAAATTGCAGGGGAAGAGAAGTTGTTAAAACTTAGGTCTAAAGTAAATTGTAGCTGTGGGTAGGAAGTAAGATGAATCATGGTCATCTGCTGTCTGTATTGCTTGATAAAAAAGAGAAGCAAATTCACAGGAAGAAATTAATAAAAGGAGTAATGATTGGACATGATCTAGGGGTGCACCTAGTTGTTGAGATAGATAGATAGATAGATAGATAGATAGATAG